CTTTTCCATATAGTCAAGAAGTACTCCAATCACGGGAAATTTTGAACATTGCACTGATGAAGAGGAACCCATTTTTATTTTAAGCAGAATATCAAACAGCTGAAGTGCAGACATAGAACCGTCCCCAACCCATATGTTGCTTCACATATTTATTGTGGGATGCCTGAACGTATCTAATTTTAATTATTTGCAATATACAGTGAATACTAAGCTTCCTGATTTTTTTAAAACTCACTATAGAGTTTAGAGGCTATGCTACTCTTAACTCTTGAAATGTTAATTCTATCCTTCAGTGTGCTCCTCCTCCATTCCCACCCTCCATTCCATACTGCCACATCAGCTTAAGGGACACTCTTGCATGAAAAAAACTGTCATTCTCTGAGATGATCTACGTTTCTGACAGTACTACTGGATATGAAGTATTTCACATCAAATACCACACCTAGACACACCATACACGGTTTTTTCTTCAGCTTTGCAGGCTGAGGCCAACACGTGATTTTTACGCTGTTTTTTTTCTGCCTCCTTTCCTCCCATTCTTTCTGTCTGCCTTCCTTCCTTCCTGGCTGCACTGAGCAGCCTCTGGACTTTGGAGCTTCTGAGGAGTGCTGGGGTTTGAGGCTAGAGCTGAAGGCAGTAACCAGATGTCTCCAACTCCTCTGAGTGACAGAAGGTGAAACACTGCTGGTTGGTTAGTTACAAAGATATGTTTGCTGGAGGCAAATCTGGAGCAGGTTTAAGAGCAAACACAGTGCAGTCCTCTCAGTCCCTTGCCCAGCAGCAAGCTGCAGAAGCAGATGCAACATGGGGAAACTGATAAAAGGTCAGTCACCCATGATTCAACAGGCATTGAAACTAGCTTCTGAAGACGAGGGGAATTTGTGTTTCTTGACTTCAAGAGCTAGGATGATGCCAAAGGCTGGAAAGGGCATCCCAGTGCTACCTTTTGATGAGAAATGAAAAGCTGGGCAGGAGGAACAGTCTGACCATTCGAGTGTTCCTGCATCTTTTCATTTATTGATTACAATTCTGTTACATTGCCCATGTCCAAACAGAAATCTGTAATTTGTCCAAGAAATACAGCGTTTTTAGAAGAACTAACTATTGAGCACTAGATGCCTAGAGAATAAACAGGAGGAAATGCATATGCATCAGATGAAATAATGTCAATTTGTAATTAATGAAAACTAGTGGGAAGGGAAATACAGCTGGAAAACTAAGGCTGTAACAACTTGCTCTGAAAGGCTATCATGAAAAGCAGGAGGAGAAGGAGAAGGAAGGATGTGTCATTTTACATTAGAGATGATCATGAATTTACAGACCACAGATCATGAAAGCTTACAGATTATACCTGAAGTCCAGCTAAAGGTGGTGTTATGGGACTTTTTACAGTCTTTGGAATCCTAACACTAGAGTGAGCTGATAACTCTGCATCTGTTCTTCATGTGCAGAAAGAAAAACAGGCTCATCACAGATGCACACAGCCTGAAGGATGTTTGCTGAAAACCTCATCTGACTGAAGAAAAAAACTCCCCAGTGCCCTAAAAAGATGGCAATTTCCTCAAATAGAAAAATCCAGAACCCTACGTGGAATATCTCAATGTTGAATCTCATTTTAATGAGTGAAGAGAGAATTAATCACTTAAAAGCTAAAAGCTGCCTAAGTATCAGTGATCATGATCTAGTCACAGTGACTCTGTTTTCAAATTAGGATACGCATTGTTGGCTGGTGTTTCTATTCTGTTTGCACAATCATAGGCATACGAGTCTAGAAAAAGAAGAGTGAAAGGCACAAAATAAAATATCGAATTGTTTTAAAAAAGAACCTACTGTGTGCTGAAAGGTCCTTCCAAAACTGCAAGGAAAAGTTACTGGTATGTAGAAAAAAACATCCTGGAGAAGATAAAGAACAGGAACCTCAGAAAGACATGCAGAGGAGAAAAGTTAGTGATAAACAAACAAAGAAGCACTGAGAATCTCTAAAGAAGCAGATGAGCCAATAAAACACTAAAGACTACTAACAGTGTTTTAGACAATAAAAAGGCACTCTAAAAATAGCCATGCAGATAAAGTCCACTCTTTGGTGTAGGCAGCAAGATCAAAAATGATGATACTGGAAAACAAAGATACTGAAAGAACATAATGGTGTGGAACTACCAGGGCACATAGCTTGTTGGATTAAATCTCTAAAAGATTTCTAAACTCAGTTGTTCACAGTAAGACAACAAAAGATGGCTCACTAGCAGTGATTTCCAGATTCCAGGGATTGTATCCTGCAATGTAAATTCATAGGTTTCTCATTTGGGGGTGAGGTGACATGAAACTTCTTCAGGAAAACGTCACATAAAATAAAGACCAACGTGGTGCCAAAACAGATGGCTATTGTTATGGAGCACAGTTAAAATCACAGTCTAAAGTCACTTGCTGTGCCATACCACTACATGCAAAGCTAGTAACTTTAGCAAAGAACAATTAGCAGGCTTAAAGTACCAGACATGTTTTGAGGACAATGACTTACAAACTTATTCATGAAAGAAACTAGTAAATTCATTTATGTCTTCAGTGATGATCGTTTGCTTCAAAACAGATACTGAAACCTAGATGCTCAATTACAGAAAAAAATAATCCCAGAAAGACTTCTATCACCCCGTGCTCAGCTCTGACTGCCACATTTCCAGAAGGAAGTGAAAATAATGGAGTGAGCTCGAAGGCAGGCCAAAGAATTGACCCCTGGACAAACCTTACAAGTGAGCCTGACAGAGTTCAATCAGCTTACCGATAAGGTTCAGAGTTGTCACAATGACTATTTAGGGCCACATTTCAAACTCTCATGTAAGTTAAGAGCTGGCTTTAAGAATTTCAGCCTTCATTTCCCTGCAAAATTTCCCAGCAATGTTAGTAAATTAACTACAGAAGAATTTAGCAGGGCAGGTGGTCAATTCATTAACGCCTGAAGTTTTCAAAATGAGATTATGCATGTTTACAGAAGTTACACCCCATGCAGCTTTTAGTGAGAAAAAAAAAACCCAAATATGCGAAAACTATGGCTCAATCACCCAACATGTCAGATCAGAGGAGTAATAATGACTTTTTGTCTTGTAGTTGTCTCAGAGTTTATGAATTGAAGTACTTATCCATAAAAAAATGAGAAGAATGAAATACCTCTTTCAGGTCACACTGACAAACAGCGTTTGTAAAAGCCACTTCAGCATGCATACTGATACACACAAACCTTTCTAACATGCCAGTGTCACTTGCATTTCAGTTCTAACTCAACAGCTGTTTATGTTGGTTAAATAAGTGCACAGAAAAGTAGGTGTGAACCTGGTGTTAAGCATGGTTTGAATATCTCAGCAGTCCTTCCAAAGAATCCCTTGATAAATCCCTCCCACAGCATAGCTCTGACATCAGACTAGGCAAATGCCAGTGATGTTCATGGCCAGTGGGAGAGGAAATCCACTTGCTTTGCTGCTCTATGGGAAACTTCCTTCTTACAAATGATATACTGTGCTACTGTATCTATCATTCCTAACCATGTACGAACAGGAGTGGAGCATATCTTCTCATGCATCTAAACAGGACAGCAATCTTGGATGGAGAAAAGAAAATTAAGGAAAAAGGACATATTCTCTAGGTGAGAGGAAAATAAAATCACTTGTCATTCTCCAAAAGTAATCAATATTAAATACATGCTTTCTTATTTCCAAAGGAATGAAGGATTCTGATGCTCCATCCTTATTTTATTTACTTCAGCCCAGGAACTGTCTGATCCGCTTTAAATGCTGTGGATCGATTCTGTATTAAAATGCCATGCTATGCCTACTCCCTTAGAGTGCTACATAATAAGCTGAAGGCAACAGCGACATATTCTACAGATACAAAGCCTGCAACAGAGGTGTCTTTCCAGAAAAAACTACTGCCTTTGAATTCACTCCTTCCCTGGCACTGAGCAATCCACCTGACATACCACATCTTCTTTCTCTGGTTTCAGCTAAGAAAACAAACCAAAAATACAGAGTCATAGAATCACTGAGATTGGAGAAGACCACTAAGATCATCTAGTCCAAGTGTCAACCCGTAATCACCATGCCCAATGACCATGTCCCTTAGTGCCGCATTTATCCTTTCCACAGACTGCATGCTAATGGGTGAAGAAATCAATGATGAGGTTGACAAAAAACAAGGTCAGATGTCCTGTCTTGAAGAACATTTTGTGTTTTGTTTAGGTTCGTCCTCACATACACATGAAATACTTACGGGTTTTAAGGTTTAACTTAAGCCCAGAGCCTGGAGTCAGGTCAACTAGCACACAGAATTTTCTCTTCTTCCTCACCAATGCAGAGCTAACACCTGCACTGGAGACTAAGATTTTTATCGATATGCTTTCCTCTAGCCAGAAAATATTCATACCAACTCCATTTCACCTGCATTGGTTCTTCTAAGCACTGTGAAACATGCTACTCACACCACAGTGCTAAAGGATCAGATTACCCTCACCTTGAATCTATTCAGTAAACCTCATCAAGCGCCAAAGCACAATTTAGTGAAAACAAACAAGTCAATTAAAAAAAAATAAATAGTAAAGCAAAAAGGATCTAAATTGCAAGATATTTCAATAGCAGCTCAACTCAGGTATTGTAACAAAGCATTTCAACAAAAAATACAAGTTTTCTACATACAGTCCTCTTCATTTGAAGAGCTTGAAGCAAAGTTCTCAGCACCTGTACAGCTTGCTTTCAAAGGCTTCAGCAGTGTACACAAGTTAAGGACATAACCTTCAATCTCAGCAAGTTTCTGGTATAAGCATGCCTCAAAAATGTAAGAAACGTGAGACCTTACAGCATTAACAACACTTGTTAGCAGCAAGGAAAGAAACAACTAAAATCCCCCAAACCAAACCCTGTCAGTGTTTATTGCCAAGCATAGTTTCCAGCAACTTGAATTTACATCAAGTTCATGAACAGTGAGCATCATTTGTTCTGAAGAGCAAATATACTTACGAAAGGACATTCCCAATGTAAGCATAATATGAACAGCAGTAGGGAGCGGTCCCATCACAGCAGTAAGCCTTGCAGTCATTATCACACTGAGCCAGACAGTCTTCTGCTGAATAAAAATAACATTCATGCAGTCAAACAGCAGCAACAACAAAAAGCCATAGAATACAGCTTTAAAGAAAATGCAATCTAACAGTTTTATACAATCACAGGACTTCACTTGAGGCTTGGCCTGACCCCATAATCCAAATGGCAGCCAATTCCCTCTCATTCCAAATTTCAGTGAGAAGTTCATATTTAGATGCTCTGTGTATGCACATTTCGTAGCTGGCTGTATCAATCCCTTTTCATACTAAATCATTCAAAATAAAAAGAAAGCATTTCAAAATGTCAAGACACCACAGATTATCTTTCTGTCTTCCAATGAAGACTCCAGAGAACTACCTGAAGCCAAGCTGCCTCCCACACTGCACTGCTGGGTTGGAGAAGAGGGAAATGAAGCTGTCTGTGGGCTGGTTCCTGCCCCATGTCCCTGCTGGAGTGGTCCAGAGTGACACTTAGGGCTGCTTGGCGCTCCCCAGCCAGTGGCCAGCGCTGCCCTTGCTCTATACCAGATTGACTGCCAGCTTCATCTCAGTGGGGCCCTGCCAGCCTAGCCCAGCCCCACTGCAGCCAGCTCTGCCCGCCACCATGCCAAGCTTTCTTGCCTAGGAAGCCAGAACTGTCCTCAGCAGCAATGCTCTTTGGGATTGATGAACAGCTCCAACTGTGAAATAACAGTAAGCAAGTTCTTTACAACTAAAGGATGTGGAAGGACACATTCTTTTATTTTAAAGTTCAATCTCCTGTTTGATAATCACTTTGTGGTGTTGCAAAGCCCTAGGCCATGTTCCCTAAGGTAAATGACAGATTTCTCCTGTCTCATCCCATACTCTCCTTCTTGACCATCAAGAGCTCGCTCACTCTGATGACTCCATTAGCATTTGTAGAATCACAAAATCATTAAGGTTGGAAAAGACCACCAAGATCATCTTGTCCAACTACTATGTCCACTAACCACATCCCTCAGTGCCACACCATGAACACCTCCGGGGACGGTGACTGCACCACCTCCCTGGGCAGCCTGTGCCACTGCTTCACTGCTCTTGCTGACAAGAAATTGTTATTAACACCCAACCTGAACCTCTGCTGGTGCAACTTAAGGTCATTCCCTCTTGTCCTGTCATCATTATCTGGGAAAAGAGGCTGACCCTCACCTCGCACAACCTCCTTTCAGACTGTTGTAAAGATCAATGAGATCTCCCTGAGCCTCCTCCAGGCTGAACAACCCCCGCTCTTTCAGCTATTCCTCATAAGATGTGTTCCTGACTGTCATCCATTGTGGCCCAGCTTTCAGTGTGATGGGGTCTGGACAACCCAACCTCATCGTAGCAACCTCTGTGACCACCTCTTGCCCACAAGCTCCCAGCTTGCAGCATGTGGCTGCACAGCGAGCTGCCTGCGCTGCTGATCCATCCTAACACTCATCATCTTAATTTCACACAACAGATTTCAGCAGGTCAGCTCCCATCACCTGTGCAGGAGCGGAGACAAGCACCAAAGTGAGGGTGAGGGCAGGATGCAGCTCTGAGCCTGTGCTCTCAACCTGAGCAGTTACCCCGTTTAGAGAAGGGCTACACACCACAACGCGGCACGACAGACAGCCCCACCGATCTGCAGGCTAAGCAGAGTAGCCGGACATGAAAGCGACCCAACGCATTTGCGATCCAGGAGTGCTTGAAGCACTGCACGAGAGAGGGACGGTGAAACACCTCTCCTAATTCAAGCAGCCCGCGCTCTATCAGCAACGAGGAGCCCTCCTTCCAGGGAAGTTACTGCAAGTGCTGAACTTGGGCAGCGCTCGGGGTGCCACAGCAGCCCCCAGCAGTGCTCACCGGGTTACACGGGCCGTCCTTCCCAAACCTCCCGCACACTGAAACCAGTCCAGCCACGAGAGGCCTGGGGGGGGGGAAGACCCCAGCACCTCCCGGCACGGCGGCTCCCCCCGCGCTGCCCCCGCCCGCAGCTCGGACGGGCACCTGGCGGCCGTCCGGCGGGGCCCCGCATCGCCCCCAGCCCCTCCGCTCCCCCGGCTCCCCGATCCCGCTGACCTTCGAGAAGAAGGAGGAGGAGGAGGAGGAGGGTGGGCAGCGGCACCCCCCGCGCCCGTCCGCGCCGCCCCGCTGCCTCCATGCCGGCGGCGGGCGCGAAGCCGCCGCCCGCCCCGTCGCGGCGAGGAGGCGGGCCGGGGGCGGCGGGCGGGCGGGCGGCGTCGTCGGCCCGGGCCCGCTGCCCCCCGCCGAGCGGGGGCCGCCCTCGGGCTGGACCCGCGGCGCGCCGTGGGTGGTGGCGGCGGGCCCCCCCCCGTCGCGGCCCGGCCCCCGGCGCTTCCCCGCCTCCCCGCCTTTGTCCGCCCCGGGGCAGGGCTTCTCCGCGGCCGTCGGAGGGCGAGGAGCTGGGCCGCTGGCCGTCCCCGCCCGCCGAGCACCGGGAAGCTTGGCGGAGCTCTCCAACCTCGTAAATGAAAGCTCCCAGCCCCCAGTTTTGTTTTGTTCTTTATCTTTTCCGCTGCCGGGATCAATAGTTACACCGTGCTTGGAACCACAAAGGCAGCGTCAATACACGGAACGTGATGTGCGTGTAAGATACCGTCTGAGACGGCGACAACAAAACAGGACCTCTCCAGGTGTGACGGCGCCCTGCTCCCGACAACGGGGCGTGAGCTGGGGGTACAGCAAGCCCCAGGCCAACCCTACCCTGCTGCTCACTATTGAAGTTGCTCTGTGATAAAACCTGAACTGTAATCTCCAACGTGTTTTTCAAGAGTGATTTCTGATAACTATTGAAAATGCTGCTGTAATTAACCCCGTGCAAGAATTCCCATCGACGGGGCCCGGAGGCCGAATGTTTGCCCCATGGTCTCACAAAACAATAGGGCCAAGTCTGACCTTGTGCAAGGAGTCACGAGTCAAGGAATGCACTTTGGGACACTGAGGTATGCACACAAAAATGAGAAAAATCCACAGGTGTTTCTGCTCATAAAGGGCTTCCTGCTGTTGGCAACTTGGACGGGAAGGCTGACACAAAAATATCATGATTTTTTTTTACAAAGGTTCAGCTATTGTACTCCACTGACAACCCAACCCCCCCAAGCACTGCGTCAGATCAGCCGAAAGCCAGTTGTGTTTATCAGCGCACAAATGTTTCAAACACATATGCCTAAATCTATCATTGGCAAAGTAAACCAATTCTTTATGTTTTTAAGTACCCTGCAGTGTGTATCCCTTAGTTTATGTAACAAACTTGCATGTCACATTTCAGCATTACCAAAAAATGATTGGGTACAATTGCCCAGTACTTGCAGATCAGCGTAGTACATGTGAATTCAATACAAATTTGCACATAACAAGCTTACAGACTTATTATAATTGTTCATTTTTTATGTCTGTGTTGGGTGCTTTGTGCCTTTCTCAGGTTTCTCAGCCTTAACTGTTACCTACCAAATGCTGTCCTTTGGACAAATGACTGAGGCCCATCTCACAGTAGGAAAAGTGGGAAGGTGTGCTCACCTTTTCTGCTACTCTATCTGCTTTGCACTACTCCCCGCATTTTGGAGAACATTTTTAGAAGGCTGGAAAAAGGGAGCATGATTCCAAGATGGTATTAACTGCTCTGGGATGAGATGAGGGTCTTCTGGGACCAAACACGATTTCATGTTTTCAGGCAGAGATTTCAAAGGTAGACAGATTCATAGCAAAGAGTAACAAAGGAGGAGAGGTGTAGATTAGATATTAGGAGTAATTGCTTTCGTCGTAGGGTGGTGAGGTGCTGGCACAGCTGCCTGGAGAAGCTGTGATGCACCATCCCTGGAGGTGCTCAAGGGCAGGTTGGAGAGGGCCCTGGGCAGCCTTGTTTAGTGTCTGATTTAGTGGTTGGCCTTCCTGCCTGCAGCAGGGGATTGGATTTAGATGGTCTATGAGGTCCTTTCCAACAGAAGTCTTTCTATGAAAAGATGAGAACTAAGGCCCTAGCCATGACATTTCTCCTTACAAATCGCAGCCTCGCATGATATGAAATCATTTCTGATCAGAAATGGGTTTTGAAAGATGGTTTTGAAAAACATGTAGGATTGATCAAATGATGCTGTATAACAACTCTGAAGTGCTGATCTTCAGGTGGAGTTCAAGGATAAAATCCTTCTCCCAGTGCACCAGTGTTTTGAAACTCACTACAATCAAGCATTTCTGTCTTCAGAAGCTTAATTAGCAGTTTAGAAACAGTAATTATCACACGAAGAGCACTAGAGGAAACTTAATAGAGAAAAAGGCATATGTTTAAGGTGAGCATTTAGACTTTTTACCTCCATGCTACCTCTAGAGAAATCACTTAAAAACAATTACCAGCATAATTTTTACATGTGCTCAACAATTTCTTGTTGAACTCAGGCTGCTGACTGGATGAGAGTTAGGAATGGTAAGTCCTCTAGATGTTTTCCAGCATGAAACCAGCTAAGCCACTCCTCAGCACCTCCACAGAAGCTCAAGCATACTGTGTAGCACCAACTGAGCTGCTGATTTGGGCAAACTCCTCATTCTGAAAGGAGGGGAGCCCACAAATACATCTGTTAAGCTCTGCCCCATGTTATCTTGCACCAATGTAGAATATTAAAGTCATTAAGGCAGGAAAAGACCTCTAGAAAAGATGACCTCGTCCAACCATCAGCCCACCCCCACCACACCCATTTCCCACGTCCCTCAGTGCCACATCCACACGGCTCCTGAACACCTCCAGGGACGGTGACTGCACCACCTCCATGGGCAGCCTGTGCCACTGCAGCACCGCTCTTTCTCAGAAGAAACTTTTCCTAGTCTCATCTGTCATATGTTAGCTACATCTGAACTGCTCCTCCTGTCTCTGAAAGGTTTGTGTGGATGCTTCTCTGCGACGATTGCTGTCTGTATGCACTTTCATACCTAGCAGAAACGTGAATACCGCCCTTGTTTTTCTGCAGGTTCCTTGTTTCAATAGTGTACTTCAAGGTGGCAAACGTGGTTTCATTGTACATTTAACTTAGTATCTTCTCTGTTCCTTTGTTATGAAAGAATCACCATAATTATCTGACAGGGAGCATGCTCCAGCCCCTGCTGAAGTTAATGAAAGACTTCCCAATGACTCCACCGTTAGTCAGACCTGGCTCTTAATGTCTGATTGTGTTCTATCTGCTTATACTTATCGCTGGTCAAAAAGTCTTAATCTTTTCTTTTCCTTTAAATGAAAATCTTCTCACACTTGTGATCAGTTTCATTGCCCTTTTTGGGAAGCTCTTTCTGCTACATCTTTTTCTTAGGATGACCTAAATTCTAAATCCACTATTTAAAATTGATTTTCAATGTCAAACTCTGTCCTTCTCTGACAAAGTGCCATGTTTTCCTGACTACTGCATTAGCATGCATTATCTCCTTTGCAGCATTGGCATATAGCTAGTTTCATACTATTAATCACTATAACATAAATGTACATGCTTTCTTTCTTTTTCAAAAGTGTTGTCTGTGATTACATTGCTTATCTCCACACAAGCCGCTTTATTATCTCTTTCAGGGTTTCAGATTTCTGCCACTATCTTTGACATTGGAGAATTTATCACAAAGCTCCTAGAACGCGACTGGACTGTTTTTCTTCTCCACAGACTTCCAGTCTCTGTCATATGATGGATGTGCTAAACACTCCTGCATGTTGCTGTTGCTGTGTAAAACTCAGAAAGCACATTGCAGGAAATTATTCGTGTGCAGCAAGCAAGTATGATAGGGCTCCCAGTTACATCTGAAGGTGGATGTAATCTCTACTTGATAGTGGTCACATTCTATGGCGTAGAATGATTACTACAGGTAGAAATGCATTCTTTATTCTGTAAGCATGTGTTAAAGACAGAGGAATCTTTGCCTACATTTTGGATACCAAAAAGCTCAAGACAGCAGAGGAAATAGGTGCTTTTTTTTTTTTTTTTTTTTTTTTTTTTTACTATTTGCAAGTTAGACATTTCCCTGCTCATGTCATCTCTTACGACACTTCAAGCTTTTACCTGCTGGAATGGAACGAATAGAATACCTTTGGCATTGTTTCTACCAGGAGCAAGGTTTGTCTCACCCTTCTGGTTGAGCATCAGGCAGTGTTTTATGCATCTACTGAAAGGCTAACTTTCATTCAGACTTTAGTGATCTTGTGAAATAGTGTCTATTTAGAAATACAGGCATTTGTGTGCTTTATTGCTTTCTTTAATGAAACATTTATTTAATGAACTAATCAGTAGTGCTTGGTAAAGCCTAGCAATCAGTAACAACATCTAGAAAATTTGTAGTCACAGAAGTCTTGAATTTAGGTGTTAACAGTAATGTTTTCTCACTTCTAAATTCCTTCCTGCTCAAATGATCTTTTCTTTTTCTTCTTCCTCCTACCTTCCCCCCCATAATTCTGTATCAGAATTTATAATCTGAGTAATAAGATTTCTTAAATATCCATATATCTTTTGAAGATATATATATCTGATTTAATTGGATCACAATCAGAAATGCAATTAGTTAATCTAAACTAGACTTTCACTTCCTTTGGAAATTAAGAATTAGGTGTTAAACATTGATCTATGACATAAAATCTGTGGTTAAAATGACTTAACTGAAAGGCTTTAGAAGAGGTAGTTTATCGTCTGAATACTAATACTCTATTTTCTTTATTTATATTAATTGAAGAAAATTTCAAGGTTTTTTAATTTGAAAATTTTCTCTTGCATGTGGTTTTAGAGGACAATATTTAACTTCTGTGAACAGTATCTGGTTTTAGAATGACAGTAGGTGAGGAAGATGCTTAGGTGGATGGACAACCAGCTGGAGGTTACCAAAGTAAAATTTGGTCTCAATGTCTTGGTTTCTGTTATTTTTCACATTCTGTCTACAGAACATTGTAAAAGATCTGGCAAACCTTTGATTACTAGGATGGGGAACTCTGTATCCAATTATCTATGTGACAAGATAAGCAATGTACACCAAGAACCAAGTAAATCTCTGTAGTTGGTCAAGGACTATTACCAACAGCCACGATTTAGCATTATTCTAAAACTACTCAGTTTTGTAGCCTTAGGAAAAATCCAGCAGCCCTAGATCCCTGAATGCATAAATACACTGATTCTAAGATAACCATCTAAATCTAAGATTTTGTCCTGGAATTTTTAGGGTTTTTTTTCTTTTTTTTTTTGTAGAAATACTTGGAGAAAATATTTTAAAAATACTGAATATCGTTTCTTCTTTAATGAAGCTGGCTGTTTGCAAGCATACAATTCTGTACTGTAACCATCATAGGAAGAGATGGTCTCTCACACTTTAACTGCAAACAAAGCAAAACCTGAAGAGATGGCAGAGTTCGAAATTAAAGAACTATTTTCAATCAGCAGATAATGAATATCCCACTTAAAGAAATAATGAGCTCTGTAAACTTCATTTTCTGCTCCAAACAGAATGCTTTCTTAGTTTTAAGAACCATTTTGAGCACAGGTGTGATGCCTCTACCTTTTAGTGCCGAGTGAGATTTTAAAAGCTTGTGCTGGGGATTGATAGATGAAAGTTTCATCAGTTTCATCCTTCACCATCAGTTATTGGTGAAAGATGCATTATTATCTAAGGAAGATCTCTGTCTGCTATTGTACATTTTGTTTTACAAAGTCCACTCTGCTATTTACCTACCTGGGCTTGTTCAGCCTGGAGAAAAGAAGGCTGTGGGGTGATGTAATTGCAGCCTTTCAGTACCTAAAGGGAGCCTATAAACAGGAGGGGAGTCAATTCTTTGAAAGGGTAGATAACAGCAGGACAAGGGGAAATGGTTTTAAGTCGAAGGAAGATTTAGGTTGGATGTCAGGGGGAAATTCTTTACTATGAAAGTGGTGAGGTGCTGGAACAGGCTGCCCAGACAGGTTGTGGATGCCCCGTCCCTGGAGGTGTTCAAGGCCAGGTTGGATGGGGCCCTGGGCAGCCTGGTCTAGTATTAAATGTGGAGGTTGGTGGCCCTGCCTGTGGTAGGGGGGTTGGAGATTCGTGATCCTTGAGGTCCCTTCCAACTCGGGCCATTCTGTGATTCTGTGAACGTATCTTGTATTATCTCAGTTTGTCTTTGTTATTTAGCACCTATGATAAGAGCAGAATTGAAGATGTGATAGGAAAGTGTTCTTTTTTTTTTCTCCCACTCATAAAATGAACCTACTGAAATTATTTTTCCTAAGGAATGTACGGTGTAAACAGCCAAATGTAATCTTTTCCAGCATCACCCAGCACACAGAGTAAGTAGCCTTAAATTCTTGTATCAGTGTCTATTGTAATTACTGATGCTTGGCTGGTAGTTGTGACCTTTAGAGAACTTTGGCTTTGTGAAAAATGTCACTAAATCTACTTTTCTTGATAAACATAACTTTGAAGGAAAACATTTTATAAAAACCAAAAGCCAACAAATGCCAGACTGTAGTTTGAACATCTCAGCCTACAGGTAAACTGGATTACAGATTACTACACTTACTTACTTGAATAATCAAATAGCAGAAACCATCAGAGATGTGCAGTAAATACAGAGGAGCACGCTGGGTTGATATTGTAGCTTGTTTTAGTCAGAAGGGGGGAAATGGTTATTCTGCTGATCCTTTAGGCCTGTCCTACAGTTATAAGGATTGAAACATGCTGTATTCCATAGCGCCATGTTCTTAAATATTTTCTTGGACAACGATAAATATTTTTCATTTTTAACATGCTGTTCTTTGTGTATCATCACTGTATTCCTCATGATTACAACAAAGTGCTCATGGCTGTCATGCTGTTGTCCATGTTGCTTGAACTTGACAGGAACCATTACACTGGAGAGAGCTCAACTTTTCTGCTTGAAGCCTAGAGCAATATAAACATTGCCAGTCTGAAAGGAGAACGATCTGACATGCTGCTTGTAGTGGAATGCATTCAGCCCAGCAGACGTTCTATACTCATTAAACCCCAAGTCATACTCTGCCAAATCCTATTTCATGAAGTGAAACTGAGAATAGTAGCTAATAACGTTATTTTATTGAGCTCTCTCACAAGAAAATCTTGGTCCCTGCTAGCTGGATTCAGAGCTTTGCCTTTCAGAATTATTTTGGCTTGTACAGCCACACTTCACACTCTTACATAAATTGTTAAGTAGAACAGAAGTGGAAGACAAGGAGTTGGTGGGATGGGAAAGAAAAGGAAATCCTACTACCATAATCACAATTCTTCAGCTATGGAAGGGCTCCAGATTGTGTTCAACGCGACTTTGCTTCAGTGCTTGGTTTGATCTAGTCTTGAGCAACTTTAGGGTATGGAAGCAAATCTTTAGATACTTCTCTCTTATGTAAGGGTGCTTTCAGAAGTGTCAGTATGCTTTATTGAAAAACAAAACAAAATGTTCTAAACTTTTTTTGTTAGAGGAGATGAAAAATCTTTTGGAGTAGAGTAGAACTCATTCAAATTGAGGGCAGAGACGGGTCAAGACAGCATCATCTATATTCAGGAGTGTTCATAATCATAATCACCAATGGCATTGGAATTACTATTCAGGCTGCACACTCATTAGCACCTTGGCAGCTTGCTAGTTCACTAGAACTGGCAAAAAGAAACAAATGCTTGGTATTAATAAGCTGCAGGAAGAAAGCGTCCTCAAAATTGCTAAATGTTATTCAGCGTCCCAAAAAAGCTTAGCTGAATAACATTCAATTTTCCATGCTGCAAAGAAGCATCTTTGTATTGATCCCCATAACATGCAGTATATTAGAATAAAAATGCTGTTAGTACTTTGGCAGTGGTGTTTCTGCACCCTGATCAGAAAGAAACTGAGATGGAGAGACTGCATAACTTTTGGAACTTAACCAGAGTAGTAAGTGACAGAATTGAGATTTGAACCTAAATGATCCTGAGCCCCTTCTTCAGGAGCAATCATGAATGGTACCCTGCAAAGAGCATTAGGAATATCAGATATGCCACCTTCATCAACAGATTCTGCTGAGCAACTTAAGACAAAACTCAGTGCTCATGATATTATGAAATAAGGAAGAGCTGGAGTTCTGCGTGTGGTCGCGAGATCATGATCTCATTGCGATCACGGAGACGTGGTGGGACAGCTCGCATGACTGGAATGTTGTCATGGAGGGCTGTGTGCTTTTTAGGAAAGATTGGCCAGCGAGGTGGGTGGTGGAGTTGCTCTTTATGTGAGAGAGCAGCTAGAATGTATTGAACTCCACCTGGGGGAGAGTGGTGTAGCAGTGGAGAGCTTGTGGGTGAGAATCAAGGGGCGGGCTGGTATGGCTGACACGGCTGTGGGTGTGTGCTACAGGCCCCTGATCAGGAGGAGGAGGTTGATGAGGCCTTCCATAAGCAACTGGATGTAGCGTCACAATCCCAGGCGCTGGTGCTTATGGGGGACTTTAATTATCCAGATATTTGCTGGACGACCAACTTGGCCAGGCACGCACAGTCCAGACAGTTCTTGCAGTGTGTTGAAGACAACTTTCTGATGCAGGTGGTTGAGGAACCGGTGCGGGGAGAGGTGTTACTGGACCTTATTCTCAGCAACAATGATGGACTTGTTAAGGAAGTAAAGGTCAGGGGCAGCTTGGGTTGTAGTGATCATGAGATGGTGGAGTTCAAGATCCTGAGTAGAAGAAGCAAAGCAAAAAATAGGATTGCTGCCCTGGACTTTAAGAGAGCCAACTTCAATCTCTTCTGGGACCTACTTGGAGCTATCCCGTGGGCTAGGGTGTTAGAAGGTAAGGGGGCCTGTGAGAGCTGGTCAGCATTTAAACAGCTCTTCTTCCAAGCTCAGGATCGGTGCGTCCCTGTGAGCAAGAAATCAGGAAAAGGTGGCAGGAGACCTGTGTGGATGAGGAGGAGCTCATGTGCAAGCTCAAAGGAAAGAATCTGCATCTGGGGAGGAATACTTGCATGCACTAATACAGGGTGGGGGATGAGCTGCTGGAGAGGAGCTCTGTGGAGAGGAACCTGGGTGTCCTGGTGGACGACAGGTTGGCCATGAGCCAGCAGTGTGCCCTTGTGGCCAAAAAGGCCAATGGCATCCTGGGGTGCATTAAAAAGAGCGTGGCCAGCAGGTCGAGGGAGGTGATCCTCCCCCTCTACTCTGCCCTGGTAAGGCCTCATCTGCAGTACTGCGTCCAGTTCTGGGCTCCTCAGTACAAAAAAGACAGGGATCTCTTGGAAAGAGTCCAGCGGAGGGCCACAAAGATGGTGAAGGGCCTGGAGCATCTCTCCTATGAGGAAAGGCTGAGTGAACTGGGTCTGTTCAGTCTTGAGAAAAGAAGACTGAGAGGGGACCTGATCCAGGTCTATAAATATCTAAGGTGTGGGGGGCATAGTGGTGAGGCCGTTCTCTTTTCAGTGGTGAGTGGAGACAGGACAAGGGGAAATGGACATAAACTGCAGCATAGGAAGTTCCGCACCAATGTGCGCAAGAACTTCTTTACAGTGAGGTGACGGAGCACTGGAACAGGCTGCCCAGGGAGGTGGTGGAGTCTCCTTCTCTGGAGATGTTCAAGACCTGCCTGGATGCCTACCTGTGCGACCTGCTGTAGGGAACCTGTTTTGACAGGGGGGTTGGACTCAATGATCTCTGGAGGTCCCTTCCAACCCCTATGATTCTGTGATTCTGTGAAAGCAACAATCTGTGCACACTTAGTTAGGGTCCCAGGAATGTAAGTGACAGAGGATGAAGTGAAACTCTACATCCTTGTGTGAGAATTGTGTCTCTGCAGGTATTAGTTTAGGCATACAACTAGTCCATGTGCCAAATGTGGAAGGTATGTTTTGGTTTTTTTTTGGTGAGAATGCACCAATGCATTTATGTAATTCACTTACAGGAGAAATGGCTAAACTTCATACCAACAATTCCAGTGAAAAACAATGGAATTGTGTAAACACAGACTTCTGTAACTGAGCTCAGTCCTGTCAATATCGAACACTGTAATTGCCTCCAAAAGAAGCCACTTCTTTATCTACGCATGCTGCTACTCTGCTCCTTATATTCACGTCTTTTTTTCTCACTTGGGAAAGGATTATACTGTCTAGTGAACAGAGCTGGGAAAACTGCTCAGAGTTAACCATTGCTTCATTTTGTTAAAATTATCTTTTTATTTTTAACTTTTCTGGTTGGGTGATCTTCTGAGAGCAAAATGAGGACAGATGACTGTACGACAACGTATATAAAAACCATATCCATAACCATTTCTGTTGTTCTATCTGGAGTCTCTGTGCACCAAAGATACCAGCACTCTATATTGTACGCATTATTTCTTTTCCTGTCAGACGTTCCTGTGATAAAGGATGAGTTTGAAATTCTATTCACTTTTTTGTGGTGATCAGAGGTAATTATAGCAACTGGTTGATAACCAGTGAGGGTCACTTTAGAGAAATCAGCAGGAAAGCAGAAGATATATAGGGTCATTTTAATCAATTTTTCTTCTGAAAATCTTCTCCAAAGGTCTCTCACTTTCAGTGGTTTACTCAGCTGGCAATGCAACATTGATTAAAAGAAAAAGTAGCAATGAATATGAGTAATCTCAAAGACGTTTCACAGCCTATGAATAAGTTAACATGTCATTAGTCAAAATATAGTGATTGTCAATAAGAATTAGGATTTGCAGACGGTTATAACACAGTGATTGATGTTTTCTCTATTCATAGCAGAAAATATTTTACCTGTAAAAAACAGTTGGCATCTTAATTATAACCACCATGTTTTACAAGCGGGCTGAAAACAGTTTCACTAAAACATACAAGAAGGAAGGTTGCACATGTATTACGTATGTGTTCATAACCAGAACACTTGAAAGTAATACCATTTTGGCTTCCAGGTCAACGATATCTGTATCCTTATGCCAAGCTATCAAGGAGTCATCACCCTCCTCAGGAAACAGTGGTATTCTTCTAACTCCTATTTTACTGAGATATCTTTACAGAGATAGTCGTGGCATGTGGGATAAAAAAAGAATAAATAAATTGAAAATATCCATTAAAAACTAGTGTTCTTGAGGGTTAGGTAAGTCCTGCTTTAGCATTCGGATAAAAATTCCTTTGAATTAATGAAAGATACTTGAGATATACCACTCGTGTTTGGAATTTGCTACAGCCTCTGCTGATGTAAACAGCTGTAGTGCCGCTGAAATCTGAGCAGTTACACCAGTCTACAGCAAATAATGATCTGGCTCATGATGTTTATACACAAAGCCCACAGAAGGCACAAACTGCAGTAGTACATAAACGTGAACTCATAACCTGAGATATATTGAACCACCAGGTCAAATCTCAATTACTTTTTGGAAGCCCCGGTGAGAAATTGAAAAGAAAATAGAAACAGAAGGCTGAAAGTCAGCAAAAAATGAGAGCTCTTCTGAGAAGGATTTCTTTCGTGAGCTCCCCAACGTTTATATTCCTTCTTTATCAAACAGAAAATTAAATTGTCCAATGATAGCTACTCACAGAGTGCTTAGTTCTCTATTGTTTTGTAAGATACAATGAAAACTATCAATAGAATCTGCAGTGGAAAGTAAGTTAAATCTTATGGCTGAAATTCTACAGGTATAATAAATCAATAAGTAATAAATTTAGATGTATAATGCTTTTAGCATTGTCAGCATGACAGTAGGAGAAAGAAGGATTTTTGACAACAACAAATTTGCTGATGAACTTGAGCTGTAGCAATAAATATCATCTCCAAAATCCAGAGAAGAAATATCTTGGTAACCTGCCAGTAGAGAATGTAAAAATGAGGCTTCTAAGAATTTTCTTATGTTTATTCCATTATTACACTTGGATAAAAGAAATGGAAGTGAATGTATACTTACGGTAGCATCTGTGTCTGAAGGTTGGAATGCAGCTGAATATGTCCAAAGCTATTTGTTATTTAGAGGAAGAAAGAGAATCAGCACCATCCTTATTTTCCAGAACAGAACAGAGGTCAATGTACAGATTTTAATAGGCTTTGATTTTAGAGATCTGTTTCTGGAAAGGGCTTTTTTTTTTTTGTTTGTATGATTATTGCTATTCTTTCTGTTGAGCAAAGAAAGAAGAACACAACACAGCATCTTACTTTGAGCCCAAGTATTCCTGTTCAGTTTATTCTTCAAACTATACTACAAATACCATCACCACCATCCTCCCTACTTTCCAAAACACATCTTTCTTAAATTCTATTTCACAAAGGTTCTACAAAAACCTTTAAAAAACACATGTAAAAATATAGCTTGTTATGCTGAGGGGGGACAGTGTTAAAAATCTGCAATGATATTTCATTCATTTGTCAAACCTAACTGCTTTTTTTTCTCTTGACAGGAAACGACTTTTCTAATTGTTGTAAGCTGCTTACAGCTCTCTGGAGTATGATGGATCTAGGCATTCATTGATCTGAACATACTTTTATTCTGCACAAACTTAAAAATGGGGAGAAGCCTCATTTTTTTATGTTTCTATGAGTGGTTCAGCCTCTTCCAGCAGTATGAGTGTGATACTTATTTGGTCAAGTTAAGCTTGTGCTTAAAAACCTTGTTGGATCAATGTTTCAGTGTTATGACTATTTTTGTACACTTTTCTCTCATTTTATGAAAGAAATCCTACACATTTTATGGAAAATTATCCTAAGTGGCATTTTAGGGCATTTTAATTTGCATATATTATAAAATAGGTAAAATTAATAGATTTTGGAAGCCTGTAGAAATTATTTAAAAGTGATTATTCTTCAGTGGTGATGTCTTCAAAATTTGCAGAATGGTTGAGATTGGAAAGATTCTTGTGGTCATCTGGTCCACTTCTGCTCAAGCAAGACCACTCAGAGAACGTTGTCTACGTGGCTTTTGAGTACATCCAAGCAGGGAAACTCACAACATCTCTGGGCAACCTGTACCAGAGCTTAGTCAACTGCACAGTAAAGAAGTGCTTCCTGATGTTTGGACAGAAACTCCTGTGCTTCTATTTGTGCCCACTGTTTCTTGTCCTGGCACTGGGTACTACTGAAAAGAGCCTGGCTCCATCCTCTTTGCACCTTCCCTTTAGATATTCATTGTCTAGATATTTATTGTTAAGATACCTCCTGAGCTTAATCTAGGCTGAAGAGTCCCAGCTCTCTCAGCCTTTCCTCATATGAGGAGTGCTTTGACCCATCAGAATTTTAGTGGTGGCCGTTCACTGGACTCTCTCCAGTATGTGCATGTCTCTCTTGCACTGAAAAGCTTAGAGCTGGGCACAGCATTCCAGGTGTGGCCTCAAGATTGCTGAGTAAAGAGGAAGAATCACTTGTCTTGGCTTGTTGGCAACACTCCTACCAATGGAGTTCAGGATAACATAAGCTTTCTTTTCTGCAATGGCATGTTGCTGGCTCACGTTCATCTTGGTATCCACCCAGACCTCCAGATCCTTTTCTGCAAGTCATAGAGCTGCTTTTCAGTCAGTATTGGTGCCTGGAGTTGTTCCTTCCCAGGTGCAGAACTTCACATTTATTGAACTTCATGAGGTTCCTGTCAGCCTGTTTTACCACCTTGTCAAGATCACTCTGGATGGCAGCATGATCCTCTGGTATGTCAGCCACTCCTCCCAGTTCTGTGTCATGTGCAAAATTGCTTAAGGTCACATTATCTAGATCATTAAGATATTATACAGGACTACATACAGTAATGACCTCTGAGGTACACGACTGCTTACTGATCTCCAACTGAACATCATTCTACTGGTGGCCATTCTCTGGACCCAGCTGTTCAGCCAGATTTCAGTATAGTTCACTGTCTGCCCATCTAGCCTTTAAATTAACAGCTTGTCTATAAGGCCTTAATGAAGTCTAGACAATATCCACTGCCCTCTCTTCATCTACCAGACTAGTCAATTCACTATAGAAGAAATGATTATATAAATTATATTAAGTAAACCCATGCTTAATGTTGGCTGAATTCAAGGGAAAAAGAATGTGTTGAAGTATCTGCTAAATAAGAATGTTCATAAAAACTTTTTATCAAATGATCTTGAAAACAAAAGGAAAAGCTCAGAGGGAAAGCTGGCAGATTCCTTTCTCTGTACTATACGGCATCCATATCCATATATTTGTCCTATCATTAGTCAGGAAAAGCATACCATAGGTTTATACCTCCTTCTCACATTAAAGCAGATTGTTTTTGTGGCAGGTTTCTGTAACTCTTAAAATGCAGATATATGCTTCTCAGAAGCGATTTGGGAAGCTTGGAGAAACTCCAAGAGAGGCATCAACAGAAAGAAATGAACTGATGCACCCTAGACACAATCTTTGTATATCACTAAGACTTTCATGGCATATTGGATAACGTGTATTTATTCATGCACACTTCACTAACAACTCAAAATGTGTGCTTCAGTTGATTAGATGAGATATGTTGTTGCATACAAAGATGTACAAGAGTACTATCTGTAGGAAACTTAATGGACTTGAATGACTTTTTAAAATGGTAAATAAAAATTTGAATAAAAAGTATAATTGCCTATTTACTAGATAGACTAGAGTAACTTCTGTATTGTCATTCTGGTCTGATGAGTACATAATATGCTCTAAAAAAGCATAATTACATACTTAGCTGATAGACTAATAGCTCCATT